CACCTGTAAATCAGTTTTTTCACCAAGAAGACTAAATGTCTCATGTTGTTATTCTACTTTTAATGTAAGAGATTAGGCCTTGTTGTTATGTCCACAGGGTCTGCACAAGTTTCCACAATATATACTTCCTCAGACAGGGTGAGGATTTGGACCTCAGCTTTCTGTTGCCTGACACAGGTCTCATCTACCTCCTTCCCTATCTGGACTAGGTACTTAAGTACGAAATATTATCCATGCCTCATGGATATACAAAACATGTCAGTCTATGTATGATGGTAAATACAGCAATGTCTACATCCCACAAAAAACTTTTGATCAGTGTCCTCTCCAGAGTCACTGAGTACACATGCCTTCACCATGCAATGGATTTGGATTATCTTCTTTATCATGGCAACAGCTACAGGTAAGTGGTTCCATGGTTTCAGACTTGAAGAGGTCCACACACTCAGTTAATAGTGACATCCACTCTGTTTTTTTCTCCACAGATTTCCACTCCCAGGCCCATCTTCATTGATCTGGGGCTGAGCTTGCGAGGTCTGGGAATGCAGCAAATTTTCCCTGCAAGCCTTCTGGCAATAGTTTTGCTACTATATGCACTGTGTGAATCAGTGAACGGAACAGAGCTTGAAGTGAATCGGAACAGTTCATCTTGGAAATGGCAGTATTCTTTATGAACAGAAGTTCCAAGGCAAAGCCACCCTTACTGGAGGCAAATCCTTCAGAACAGCATACACGGAGCTCAGCAGCTTGACATCTGTGGACTCTGTGATCTCTTACTGTGCAAGACACAGTGTTGCAATATAGCATGAGTCTGTCAAAACTCTGGAAGACCAGGAAGTTGAGATGACATTGAAGACTGGCCTGTATACAATATCAGAAACAGTCATTCTGAGTTTCTATCTGTCAGCCATTTCTTCACATTCCTGTATGGTGTTTCTCAACATTTTAAAAGACCATCAGAGAATGAAGATATGCTGATTCTGGATGTTCCATACAGTCCACCATACCTTGACAAGATCTTTATCAGTTAATATCTTAGACATGCATCTGCATTAGAGAAACAAAAAAAATTAGCACACTCTGACAGAGCAAACTTTGATATTATATTATATTAATTGTATTTTATTATCACAATATCCTTTAAAGATAAGAGCTTAGAACTATATTTGGAGTAAATGAGAATATACTGTAATATGAATTTCTCCAGTAAAATACAAATCAAAAAATATCAGGGCAAACTAAAACCCCTTTCAAAATTCAATTTGATGTACCTGTATACAACATACATTGTTGGAAGTTTTTGCCATAGTTTTATGGGAAGTCTGGACTGAGATCACTAGGTCTAAATGTGGATTACACTTCCCAGATGTGGCACAGGACAATTCAGAGATGAAGCTACATCCATAAATAGACCCTGGGATGACCTCCTACACAAACATTGCCTGCACTGTAGTGCAAGCCTAGATCCCGTACCTAAATGTACACCTCCTATATTTACAGGAAAGTCCCTGGGTCTGTCTCAGTCCAACTGTGAAATCTGGAAACACAAGCTGGGTGACATGCAGAGCTTTTGTTACACTCCACACACTTTGTGGTGCAGTTCTGTGTGTGAGTATTCAGCAAGATTCAGAAGAGATTAATATGCCATTAATATAATAGGGTCACCAGGGCCCTATTCACAGCTGCTACAAGGTTTTCAGTGACTGGAAGACTGATAAATCCTGTCTTGAGTTAATGCTCCTTTCCTGATTCATATATTTTTTCGATCATTTTTATAAGAAATCAAATGAGCCGGGCGGTGGTGGCGCACGCCTTTAATCCCAGCACTCGGGAGGCAGAGGCAGGCGGATCTCTGTGAGTTCAAGACCAGCCTGGTCTACAAGAGCTAGTTCCGGGACAGGCTCAAAATCACAGAGAAAACCTGTCTTGAAAAACCAAAAAAAAAAAAAAAGAAATCAAATGAAAAGATACACTGATGAACAGTTGAAAAAAATTATGAGTGAAACACAGGAACAAAACAAGGCACACCCATTTCTTTAACCCAGATATAGCTCTATTTCTTTCTTTCTCTCTCTCTCTCTCTCTCTCTCTCTCTCTCTCTCTCTCTCTCTCTCTGTGTGTGTGTGTGTGTGTGTGTGTGTGTGTGTATGTGTGTGTGCGTGTGTGTGTGTTTAATTTTAAGGAATGTTAGATATTAAAGTAGAACCATGCATAACCGTCCCAATATCTGTCCTCCATTGTGGTCATTTTTCAAATGATCACAAAAGTTACAGACTGAGCTGTGATAGCTTGCAGATTCCTCATGAGGTTTGGCTGTTTTTCCTCATGTGGTAGGTGTCAGTATTGATGATCTCCTATGTTTTCTACTGCCATGGCCTGATGAATGTCTGCATTGTTCCTCAGGTTGGACCAAGAAAAAAACTGTTCATGAAAAGTTTTCTGTCAAATGCTTATGATCTCACTGGGTCTTATATGTAATACTGGGGAAAAATCACTTTTTCCAGTGATTGGACTATTGCCATTAAATACAACAAAATTCCATACTGAATATCTCTGATCTTAGAATGAACTGCAGAGACATTGGGACTCACCCAGTACAAGTCAAACCTGACTGTCAGTTGCAGATACTCAAAGGGAGGGGTACATTTACATTTTTATTGCAATGGGAAAATATGATGAGTAATACCAACTTGGGAAGAAAAATATTTATTTCAAATTATAGCTTTCACATTTTAGTCCACCCCTGAATGAAATCAAGGTAGGAAATCAAGGTCAGAACTAAAGCAGAAGCAATACAGAAGTGGTGCCTATTGTCTTGTTTCCCAAGGCTTGTTCAGCCTGATTACTTAGAAACCCCTGGACAATATATGGTAAGAAATTCTATGTACAATCAGATAGGTTTGGCAGCTCAATCATTAAGGAATGAGTTGAATCATAATCTTGCCTATAGTAAGATATTTACAGAAGTTTCTCAATTGAAATTCTTTCCTCTTTGATTACTCTTGATTGTGCTGTTGATTTATCAAAACATTATTCAGAAGATGAGGCATTTTTCAGTGTCAGAATCATCTTTTTCTTTCCTATAGTCTACATAGAAAGCTTGTAGAACACATTATTTGGAAAACATTATATATTGTTATTTTCCAAGTTTGGTCCTTTTTTTGTGATAACCACCATGATCCAAAGCAACTAGGAGAAGAAAAGGTCATCTTACAGATCATATTCCAACACTGAACAAAACCAATACAAGATTATAGAGATGATGACTGAGGTGAAGAAAAAAAAAGCAGATACTGCTTATTTCCTTAATTAGACTGCTTTATTATATAGGCCCTTCCTAAATACCCAAGAATAGCATCTAGCATGATGGAGTGGATCCTTTTACATTAATCACCATTTAAGTAAATGCATATTAGAAAGGCTGTAGGCCAGTCAAATAGAAGGAATTCTTCAATGTAAATTATTTACATCTAGGTGTTTCAAATTGATGGCTAAGTCACCATAATTATAAATGTTAATTTAATTCAGTAGTCAATGAAGATTCAGGTTATAAAATATTCAGTGTGTCTTGGTATCTTAGACATAAGAAGTTATGGGACAGGAATACACCCTTCACTTACATGGTGGTAGAGAACATGCTGGAAGAGATCATGTTCCTACATCTGAGACATTCAGCACTAAGATGAGAGTGAATCACTGTGATGGCCACACAGAGATTTGGTGATGTGTAGATCTATGCATCAGCACAATAGGTAATGATGAGAAATGCTGACTTATATACTTGTAAGAAGTAAAATTCTTGAGAAACAAATTCAAGAAAACAAATTTCTAGTCAAGTCATTGGAAAACTATGCTTATTTAAGACACTGTTGGTTCCTGTTGTTTCTGGATAAGTAAATGAACATGAGGAAATTACCAGGATATGTAGTTGATAACAAGTGTCCTTCTCCTCAACAGGCTGAAATTCACACCCTGAGAATCATATTGTAAAAGTGTCTGAAGAGTAAACAGCTAATATCACAGATGTACCATTGTCTCTGTTGAACAGTGATCTGAGTCCAACCACATTCTCCAATGTTCTCTACTGTTGTCTCATGGGGTCAGAGTGGGCTCAATGAACTTTCTCAAAACCACAGATGATTTTTCCTTCACATAATATATGCAGAGGTAACAATCTGGAAAAGGGCATGAAACAGTCTGAATAAGAAAAGTCAAGGGGAGGGGTGTTACGAGTGACACTGTCATCCTGGGAGACCTGTGAAGGTATATGTGTAAGACATGTAGAGTTCAAATGCTAAGTTGTATACTGAAGTTCAGCTTATCAGTCACTCCCTGTTTCTAGTGAACAGATAGGTATTTATTCAGAAAAAAAAGCACAAAATAAAAAATAACACAAGTTTTTCATACTCCCCAGTGCAAATGAAAATGGAAAAAAGTCTCTGCAGGTTCCTTGCTGAACAATTTAATTCAGTCATGTCACATGATCTCAACACAAAAATAGAGTTTCCAAACTCCAGAGGCAACTACACTTACAACTTAGTGCTGTAGCTGACTTGGGTGGTGCCTAGTGCATCAGTGTTGAAGTCAACACAGCATAAGAAAAGGTCTGCAGAGCATGTAGCAAAGCAATGCCTACTGCCATCTATAATATAGGAAATGAATAATTGGACAGAAATTATTCCTAAAATGCATATTTTGTTAGTGATTATTAAATGACATAGATGATACTTAAAGTGTGTGAAAAATAGCTTAGTACTATACAAATATTTTTATAACATTATCTTTATTGCTAGCCTTTCCCACAACATTTACAATCATATTAGAACACACTATCTCTTAAATCCAACAACAGAACTTATATAGCAGGAAGGCATGCAAATAACTCCCATTTCTTCTCATGAAAACTAGATAAATATTGGCTCTGAGTCTCAGACAAAGGAATCAGTGTTGGATGCCCAGGTCTTTCCATTTAGTAATCAGCACGGAAAATAAAACACACAATGGCTCTGGTGATGATTTGGGTTTTCCTTGTTGCTTTTTTAAAAGGTAATTTATGAAGAAGAGATACTGAGTGTGTTAGTGAACATGAACAAGATATATAAAAAATAGAGCTTCTGTAGCAATTTACTAACAACCTTCTCTGTGTTTACAGGTGTCCAGTCTGAGGTGAAACTTGTGGAGTCTGGAGGAGGCTTGGTGAAGCCTGGAGGATCCCTGAGACTATCCTGTGTAGCCACTTTCAGGGACTACTGGATACATTGGGTTCGCCAAGCTCCAGGGAAGGGGCTGGAGGGGGTTGGAGGTATTAATACAGACAGCAGTACTATAAGAAAAGCACCATCTGTGAAGGATCGATACACCATCTCCACAGACAATGCCAAGATCACTCTGTACCTGCAAATGAACAGTCTGAGATCTGAGGACACAGCCATTTATTACTGTGCTAATGACACAGTGATGGAAATTCGGTGTTTATTCAGACATAAACCTCACTGTTAGGCCACTCAGGGCCACCAGGGGGTGCAAAAGACACAGAATACAGGTTCATCCCAGGCATTCATGCAGACATGATTAGATTAAGCACTCCTCTCAGGTGATTGACCTGCATTTCTTTTACACTTTCTCTGGAATTTTCTCCACATGTATGTTGTGAAGGGATCCAATGTCCTCAGCACATTATATATTCTTTTTGTGCTATTTTATCATAGGAGGCATGGTCTCCCATGAAGAAAGTGTAAACTGACAAAAATGGGGACACAAAGTACCCTACATTAGTCTTTGAAATTTCATGAGAAGAAAGTACATGGACATTTCTGAGTATTTTCATATTCTAGGCAGATTTCAGGTTATACTTTTTGATTAGATCAGCATGAATGTTTAAGGGAAAACCAAGCAAAAGATGACACAATGATAATTCATAAAAACATTCTAGCATATTTGCAATCATCTCTTCTCCTTGAGGATAGTGCACTCAGGTTCAAATAAGACACAGGTGTGCTTTTAGTTAATTTGGAAGGGAAGGGATATAGTTATATTTTAATAAAATATTAATTAAGAACATTTCCCAAAGTTTTGTATTCTTAACTTTGCTAATGATTTTTTTTTCCTGTTCAGAAACTTGTGTGCAGAAATTATCTCAGTTATGAATACTGATTTTTGTTTCTATACCTTTGTCTCTCAATAAAATGATTTCCCAAAGCAACATCCATAATTCTGCCATCTATTCATGTCTACAAATATTATAATCCTCTTTGATATGTCTCCGTCATTCATAAGATTTGAGTTTGTGTTCATTAATGTTAAATTATTTTACATGATTTTTTCTGTAGATAAACAGATTCACAACTATGCCTAATGATCAAATTAGCTTTTTTTTATTTTAACGTTTTCTGTGACTTTGTACAAATCAGTTTTCCATCCTTTTCTTCACAACTGAATGTGTTAGATGATATTGTAACACAGCTGAAGTTATGAGGTTTAATATTCCTAGTTAGCTTGACTTAATTTGAGATTGCATATGTCTCTTATTCAACAGATGTAAGAATGTTTTCACAGAAGTGTAATAGAGAAGGGAAGATTCACATTTAACATAGATGGCAAGTGGTAGTGGGCTGCATGTCAGCAATCAGTAGAAGAATAAAAATGGGAAATATTGCCTATCCCAAAATAATTAATCTGTATATTCCCTAATCTATGCACAGGAAAAAAAAGAACATAAATGATAAGAGAATACCATTAAAGATTGCATGTGACATGATGATTACCTAAGGCACATAGGTACTGATGTAGAACAAATATTACTTGTTATAAATTGTGTTGACCATTTTGAAGGGAGTGTTTACTGTGTGGCAATGTATCCTTTTTTTGTTTATTTAATTATTTATTTAAATTGAATTCAAATTTGCTGATTACTCTTAACATTTCATCTTTGGTATTCACAAAAATATTAATGCAGTTAATATTTGGAGTATTCCAGATGCTACAGACAATGATCAATTGGTAAAAGCAATTATTTGAAGAAGATCTGATTTGTTTACAAGCACCCAAGATAACAGTTCATAAGTATATATAACTACTGTTCCATGTGATCCAACAGCCTCTTCTGTCCTACACAACCACCTGTACTCATGTGCACATACACAAAGAAATGCACATGCACACATATGAAAATAACTGTTAAAATTTTGAGGTATCTAAGTAATGAAATAAGAGAATTTTAAATTGCAAGATGTAAGATCCTTTAAAGAACATGTGTGAACTATATAAAGATGAAACCAAGGAGTTTGTTGTCAAGTTGACAAGAAGTAAACATGAAATGACTCAACTTCATGATAAACTAGGCTGTAATTGTGATCAACCTGGAGAGTCTTCTGTACAGCTGTGATCATTATTTCTGATAATTATATTTTCTATTTGGAATGAATATGCATGTGGAATAATGACTTTTGAGCGAGAAACAGAGATGACACACAGAGAGAAACATCATACAATAGGAATGTAACATGAAAAGTGAAAATCCAGAGGCAGATATTGGGGTTCAAGCCGAATCATAAAAGTAAAGCTGTGAACCAGTGGAAAGACCTTTTACCTCCACCAAATCTTCTGACTGAAAAAGTGAGCTCCTGTTTTCATAAATACTCATACTCCACACTCCAGTGAGTTCCTGTCTCTTTACCTTTATATTCTTTTCCCTGCTCAACCATATCACTCCTGTCTCCACGTCCCTACTGCTGAGATTAAATGTGTATGACTTCTAAACACTGAGATTAAAGGCACGAGCCACCACCACCTGGATCTGTTTTGGGATCAATCTTGTGTAGTCCTGGGTAGGCTTGACCTCAAAGAGAATTATTTGTCTGTCTGTCTCTTGAGTCCTGGGGTTAAAGTTGTGATCCTATCCTTGCCCTTTGATGTTTTAGCATTGTACTCCTATCTTAGGTTAAGCTTTATTTTTTTTAATTACAAATAAAATGTCACTATATTTTTCATTTTTGTTTAAAATAGAAAGAAGGCTACACATAAAACAAGAAAATTATATGCAATAATTACAATCACTGTATAAAATATATGCAGGAAACAAATACATCAACAACTTCTGATCCATTTGCATTTGAAAAATTCAGAGACAATATTCCATTTCTATCCTATGTTGGTGAGCCCAAAGATGTATAAATAATTTGTTTTAGATCATAATATGCCTTACCATCTAAAACTATCTTTGAATATCCTTCAACCTTATGCACTTTACATTTATTTGTTGAATTTTTTCTGAGTCTCATAAATAAGTAAAACTATAAATATAACTATCTAATCTTAAAACACTTCAGAAACACAAGAAGAAATAATATTAACTAAGTAAGTTAAAATTTTGAACAAACAACTTCCAAGAATATGTTAGAAATGACAAAAAAAGCTGGCTGTCTGACTAAGTCACTCAAGATATCCCTGCATCATTGGGTCATCCTGCTTCAACCCAAAGTCCTAACATATCCAAAAGACTTTTCTGTGAAGCAAGATATTCTCAAGGTCTGTCCCTCATCTTGGCAGTCTTTGACACATATTTTGTGTCTTACAAGTCTGATTAGAACATCATACTGTCAACAGTCAAGGAAAGAGCAATTTCTTGCACAGTGACTTATATTTGTCATAAATCAAATAATATCTGTGTGGAGCTGATTCAATGTCAGTCATCTTCTTGGATGTAGATTTGTGATCCCAGGAACAGATATGTCTCACTGTCATAACCAAAAACCTATGTTATTAAAACATCCTTAATGCTATATTCTCTAAGTTCTGAATTATAGGAACATGACCAGTCTATCTAAAATTTACCTATGTTTGACCTCCAAACCATACCTATTTTGACTACAAATTCTATTATAATAGGTGATTAACTACTAACCAATATTTTCTTATTATCTCAAACTGTTGCTATGCATTCTTAAATGAGTTGTATAGGTATAGCAGTATAGATATACCTTGAAAAATAGTAGAAATGTATGTACAGCATTTTCTAACAATTTTTTTAAATTTATTTATTTATTAAGGATTTCTGCCTCATCCCCACAACCGCTTCCCATTTCCCTCCCCCTCCCCCGATCAAGTCCCCCTCCCTCATCTGCTCAAAGAGCAATCAGGGTTCCCTGACCTGTGGGAAGCACAAGGACCGCCCACCTCTATCCAGGTCTCCTAAGGTGAGCATTCAAACTGCCTAGGCTCCCACAAAGCCAGTACGTGCAGTAGGATCAATAACCCACTGCAATTGTTCTTGAATTCTCAGTATTCCTCATTGTCCGCTATGTTCAGCTAGTCCGGATTTATCCCATGCTTTTTCAGACCTAGGCCAGCTGGCCTTGGTGAGATCCCAATAGAACATCCCCATTGTCTTAGTGTGTGGGTGCACCCCTCGTGTTCCTGAGTTCCTTGCTCGTGCTCCGTCTCCTTCTGCTCCTGATTTGGACCTTGAGATTTCTGTCCGGTGCTCCCATGTGGGTCTCTGTCTCTGTCTCCTTTCATCGCCTGATGAAAGTTAATATTCATGAGGATGCCTATGTGTTTGTCTTTGGATTCACCTTCTTATTTAGCTTCTCTAGGAACATGAATTATAAGCTCAAAGTCCTTTATTTATGGTTAGAAACCAAATATGAGTGAGTACATCCCATGTTCCTCTTTTTGGTCTGGCTTACCTCACTCAGGATAGTGTTTTCTATTTCCATCCATTTGTTTGCAAAATTCAAGAAGTCCTTGTTTTTTACTGCTGAGTAATACTCTAATATGTATATATTCCATACTTTCTTCATCCATTATTCCGTTGAAGGGCATCTAGGTTGTTTCCAGGTTCTGGCTATTACAAACAATGCTGCCATCAACATAGTTGAGCATATACTTTTGTTGTATGATAGGGCCTCTCTTGGGTATATTCCCAAGAGTGGTATTGCTGGATCCAGGGGTAGGTTGATCCCGAATTTCCTGAGAAACCGAAACACTGCTTTCCAGAGTGGTTGCACAAGTTTGCATTCCCAACAGCAATGGGTGAGTGTACCCCTTTCTCCACAACCTCTCCAGCAAAGGCTATCATTGGTGTTTTTTATTTTAGCCATTCTGAAAGGTGTAAGGTGGTATATTAAAGTTGACTTGATTTGCTTTTCCCTGATCGCTAAGGAAGTTGAGCATGACCTTAAGTGTCTTTTGGCCATTTGAAGTTCTTCTGTTGAGAATTCTCTGTTCAGATCAGTGCCCCATTTTATAATTGGGTTGATTAGCCTTTTACGGTCTAGTTTCTTGAGTTCTTTATATATTTTGGAGATCAAACCTTTGTCAGTTGCAGGGTTGGTGAAGATCTTCTCCCAGTCAGTGGGTTGTCATTTTGTCTTAGTGACAGTGTCCTTTGCTTTACAGAAGCTTCTCAGCCTCAGGAAGTCCCATTTATTCAATGATGCCCTTAGTGTCTGTGCTGCTGGGGTTATACGTAGGAAGTGGTCTCCTATGCCCATGTGCTG